GCAGGGCTGCTGTGGTGGGGAGAGGAGTAGGAGGGAGGAGGATTAGCTACGTTCGCTGCCTTGAGCTATTTATCTAAATTTATTAACGCCATTCATTTTTTCATTGTTGTTGTTGTTGTTGTTGTTATAAGGCGGGATAAAAAAATCTAAAAAAACCATTCCTATTATCTTTTTCTGCCGGACTGCCATGGATTTGTTGCGGGACTGTTTCTGGTCTTGAGTCTTTGAAGGACGCTGGAAGTCCCAGGACCGAACAGCGTTATCCAGTTAACCTGTAGCAACGGTTTACACAAAAGCCGTTCTTCCGCGTCGGCTGGATGGTGTTTTCGGCGTTTTAGAGGCAAGATAAATTCTGGGAGGGGTCTGCGTTCCCAGTGCCGCGCGGCAGATGGAAAGCGGGCCGCCGCCGCGTCTTCGGCTCTCGCTGCCTTCTGCTTCGAGGGTTGCCAACGGGGGTCGTTCCACGGGTTTTGCGCCCAGCGAACCTTCCGCCTCACGGGCCCCTTGGCGGATTTTGGACGCCGCGGGCAGCGCTGCTCCCCAGACGTCCCCGACAATCACGGGCCGGTCGTGGCGCCAAAGGGGCCCGGATTAGGCCATTAAGTACCATGGCTTCCGCTCCGCAACACCCAAAGCAGGTGGGCTGTGCTGTCTGTGGCCGTTTAAATCACGACGTCATCGCGCAGGTGGCCTAAATTGCCCCCGAGACGCACAAGTTCAGCAGTCCCAAAGCGATGAGGCGACGGACCCTCGACAGTCCGGCAAGGACCGTGTTTTCTAAGACTTCTTCCTGGCGGGCGGCAAGCAGGGACACTCGCGGGCCCTGCAGACTGGTCGGTGGCGATTACTGATGTTAACTGAAATAGGGGTTTGTGCCCTTCGAATCTACTATTGCCTTATAGCTTTTTACGCCACATACAATGCAGTCACTCCATCCATCCATCCATCCATCCACCAACCAACCAATTCTAAGCAAAAGTTCCTGTGGGGACTAACGGCTCACCGGATGCTTCAGCTACTCTTCCCTCCCATCTCCTGAAAAATGCTAACTTTTGTGTTTTTCTGTGCGTGGAAAGAGTTTCTCTTTCCTTCAGGAAAACAACAGAAAACAATTGTTTGGATGTATTGTTGTCGCCGGGGGGGGCGCAGGGGGCTGGAGTGGGCTTTCTGTTGGGCTTTGTATTCTTGTAAGCCGCCCGGAGTAACCGTGAGTGAGTTGGGAGACCGTACAAATAAATAGATAAATAAATCAAGCAAGCAAGCAAGCAAGCTTCACGGGTGCCTTTTGTCTTTGGGTTCTTCTTGTTATTGGTGGTCTCAGCACTTAACCAGGGAGAAGAGAGGGCAAAGAGAAACTTCTCTGTAGTGGAGTTTCTGATGGGGCTAGCTAGCTAGC